ATCCATTATTAAAATAATATTTCATTTGATTCTGATGATTCCTTCATGGTGTTGCATTTTCTACAAACAGCAGTTTATTTATTTTTTCTTGTATGTTTTTTCCTCAAAACGAAAAAAAGTGCTTATTTTATATTGTTATGAACATTATTCTAAAGAATTAAAGATAATTCATGATTACCGGTATGCATTATTAAATTTAAAATCTAACTTTAAATAAGTACAGGAATTATTTTAATATTAAACTGGTAGCTTTTAATGAAGAAAAACTTTTACTCGGTTTAAATTTTTTTTAAATAAATATTTTAATACTGTGCACACATATTGGGTTAATATCTAACCCGCACAATCACTCTGGCTTGGTCTTTAAGGATTATCTGGTATTTCAATATTAAAAACTTACATTGAGATTTATTTTTAACATAATTAGATTGACAAAAGCTCTGTAATAACTGCGATTGAATTTTTGTTCCATAATTCTCTGAAATGCACAAAAGAATAATAACGATAATAACAATACAAATAAATAAATCGATAAAATATAAATTCTTATTTATAGAATTTCAGTAGGTTTCACTAGAGCAGAGGTTCCAAATGGTGTTCTGCGGAAGAGTTAAAGAAGTTCTGGAAGTTAACGTTTTACCAGTATAATGAGTTTTGAAAGTTGTAATTATATTCAGATCCGAACTATAATTTATTTAATCTTGCAATTGTTTTTATGAAATTATTTCAAGTAAGAGGCCAATAAAATAGAAATGGCCGTTTTTTAATGGAAAATATATGTCTAAAAACAATTTATTGGACAAATTACGAAAAAGTAAGCATTTATAAAATACTTCATTTGTATTTCCCATCGCGCTTTTCAATCAAAATAATTAAATTATTTAATAAAGAAATAAGTTTCAATAATAACCATTTCCAAAAGTTTATGTCACTTCTTTTAAGTTTTTACTTCGAAGTTAACCATAATTCAGCTTATTTTAATCATTTTCAGCCTATGATCTGACACAAAGTCGTAACTAGATTAGATATAGCACAAGCACTGCAAATTTCTGTCGGACCTAAAACCTAATTTAAGATAATTAATGATAAAAAAGATGGAAAATCTTCATTTTTCAAATATAGTCTCTTATAGGTTACAACGTTCACAATTACCTTAAAATCTATTTAGAAAGTTGGGGTTCCGTCGAAATAAGGTTGATTATTTAGGGTTCCGTAGCCGAAAACAATTGGGAACTGCGGCACTAAGAGCATATCAAACAATTGCTATCCAATTCTTTCTGGTACTACCGTTTTTATTTTTAATAACAAATTAATTGACTTCGGTCACCACAAACCGAAATTATATTTGCTTATTGATAATAAAGAGATTATTACATGACAATAAAAAATTGTTTAATTAAAAGATTCAAAGCTTTTTTATTGTATTAATACAAATTATTTTGTTGGAATAAAATTTAAACCTAATAGCTTGGAAATGGTTGTCATTAAAACTTCATTCACAAGCTTTCCTTTTAAATTCTTATTTAATATTTGATTTTAAAGAAACTCGCTTAACAATTTTTGCCGATCAATTTTATTCGAATTTAGCAATCGTGCGAAAAGTTTATTCGTACCATTGCTTTAGAATTTTAGTTATTTCAATAGCATACCGTCGTCTCCTGAAAATAATTAGAACATTAATAATTTATTAAAAACGAAATATAACATATTTACCGTTTAATAATTGCAAAACGGTAAATAAGTTTTTTTTTATCATGATATGTTGAGTAATAGGGAATATTATGTGATTAATTAATAATAAAGAAACTACACTTTTATTTTCGAACATTGAATTTTGAATAATTAAATACTGAAATAATAGTAATAACAGAGAATAATGTAATAATATTTTAAATGGGGGATAAATAAGTTATTCACAAGTAAATATCATTGTAATTTTATGCTGATGATAGCCAAAGAAATCTGGATCTTTTTCGTTTATTGAGGACCTAATCATGTGATTTATCTGTTTAATGAGAATACATTGATGCGATGATTAGACATTTAACTCTTTTGATATGTAGAGAAACAGACTAACATTTGAATCTTTTTTGTTTATTAAAGATGTGATTTTGTTGATTGAAGATGGGAATCATGTGATTTTTTTGTTCAATGAGGATACGTGAAACGGTAAGATTTAGTTGAAAAAGCGTGACTTTTTTAAATTTAAGAGTTTTTGACTCATAAAATTAAAAAAAGTACATTTCTAAAGTATCATTCTAAAGTAAGTAATCATTATAAAGTACATTTCTGAAGTAAGTAAAGTATTTCACAATACTAAACTAAAGTTCAGGACCTTCGCCCAAGTTCACCAAAGTCAATCCTTGCTTCCAAATCCACAATGCGAATGTCAATCTATAATTTTTTACTAAAATTAAAGAGAGTTTGCAATTGAGAAACTTTTTTAGATCTACAGTTGGCATTCTTTTTCCCAATTTTTAGGGATTGATTTTTTAGTAAATTTAATGAAGTAATCCAGAGGGCAGTACTCTTGACAACCATCCATTATTAAAATATTTGGCCGTTGATTGGCTGTTTCAGGTTCAGTCGAATTCAGATACAGTAAACGAACGAATTCTTTTTCACTCTCTTTTTCACTGTATAATTCGAATATAAGAGTTGCAGCATATGGCACGAGTTTGGTTGGCACCATATTAAGACATCCTAGAATGACAGCAACAGTTGAATCATGCTAAAAAAAAAGAAAGAAAAAAATTGCAAATTAGAAAGTTCTAATTAGTTTTAATAAAATAAAATAAAACTTATTATAGGAGTGTTTGTGGCATATTCGGTCTCAATTTCTGGTGAAAATGAAACCTGATCGTTTCTGTTCAGAATTAAGATCTACTTGACTGGTAATTGAAAAACGGGCTTTTCAATGGCGAAAGACTAGATTTGTTGAGAAAGACATGAGAATTTATAAATGGATACATGTGCTTATTTTTAAAAAAAATTTCAAAAAAAGTTAAGCAAAGGTGTAATATTGACTAATTTCATTACTGTTTTCTAAAAACAGAAAGAGAGAGAAAATGAAATTTCTTGAATATGCCGAATGGTTAGGCAAAATTCGTCAAATAGTGAAAATCTTTGGGAAGTTACAACGACCTCCCATCTTGGCGCCCCTGCTTAACACATTCTTAGACTAATGTTATACTTTTATTGTCATTTTTTCAAAAACTTAGCTATGACTCATATCTCATTTACGAATGCTATATTTTTAGTGAACATTTATTAATTTCAATCATGGAACCTTTCCAAGGGAAAGGATAAAAGCGTGAAGCATAGATCCTCTCAATTACTTATACCTACCTGCGAAGAAACCACCAAATTTTAAACAACATAAATCTGATGTACATATAGTTTGTCAAAAGTGAGAACTCCCCTAGCCATTTGTCTGGACCCTTGGCGGTGACTATGGTAACGAGTTATAACTATTTCAAGTAGAGGTTGGGTCATTGTTTAGGACAGCATTTGGCTCGGATCGGGGAAAGAACAGGAATCTTTTTCTTCAATCTATTGTGTTAGCCCTAGAGTGAAGAGAAACTACCCTCCCTGAAATGCGATATTCTTGTTTCCATAGCAGCAGACGGCCTCAGACTTAATGGCGGGGATAGTTCTTACCGTAGACAAACTATATGGATGACGTTTCTGCAGTAGGGGACACAGCAAGCTCTTACTCCCTTTACTTCCGGGTTATTGCTTCAGGTGCATTTTGAAGTCATTTGGCTCTCAACGTCATCATCGTGTTTTGAGACTCTCTAGAGTAGTATTGCTTGTGTACGTGTATTTGTTACCTGATTTATTATTAGTGTTTGAAAAAAATCGTTATAAGAATCGCCATTTAAAGACCTATCATTTCAAGACGTAAGAATCGTCATCTAAAAAAAAAAAGATCGTTATAAAACACTTCTTACCCTGTCAATAATATACCAATCTCGAAATTTAAATCTTAAGGTCTGGTTTCTTAGGACAAGCGCCTTATCTGGGCGTCAGCGGGACGTTGACGCCAAAAAAATACTTTTTTGTTAGCTCAGCGTGAGCAGTCGGTCCAACGCAGACATTATCTCTCATTGCGCATGCGTTAATAACGTAAACACATATTTATTTTGAATTTGTATTGATTTTGTTATTGTCGACCAGTGTTTTAGAGAACAAATAATGACTTTGTCCAAGAAAAAACAC